AGCTTTGTGTAATTCTTGAAATCAGAACGTTAAAGGCCGTTTTGAATTAGTTCAAATTTCGTTGGTTTCTATCATCGCTCGGAAGTTGAGCAACAGTTTCATTTTTCAATACATTCATTTTTTCAAGATTTCTTCCCAATTTTTTTGCTTAGTAAATATTTTGAGAAAAACAAAATTAATTTTAGTTTTGGCGTTGAGCATTAATCACTGCAGCTGAATGAAATTCAATCAAATGTAAATCGCTCTAAATTTACAATTAAATCAGCGAAAGATTGGCGTTTGGAGCGTTTTTCGTTTAGTTGTCATTGACTTTCGTTAAGTTGGAACGTGAAATTTGCCTTTGGAAATATTTCCGTGCGAATAGGCACTTTCTACAAAAATGTCGAAAATAAACAAACTGAAATCGAACTGCCAAACAAGAGCAGAACAATGAGTCATCGAAAGGGCGAACTAGCACATTATTATATCATCATCTTTATTCTGTAGGTTTTTGCGAAAATGTGTATGAATCTAGTTTGCTATCGACAGTGGTCGAAGTCGGTCGGTAGTCTTTTGTGTCATGTGAATCGCGTTATATACAGGGTGTTTTTTTAGTGCGATAAAGTCCATTATTTCCGATGGTGTTGAACTTTGGAAAAATAGTTACAAATACAAGTTGTTGACGCACAAAGTGCGCACATTTAAAAATATCTTATATGATACAGAGTGTCTCAGAAAAGCGAGGCAAGATCAAAGTGTATTTTTGTAAATAGAACTACCCATTTTTCATTAGCTCATGGAATGCAGCTTGAAACGCTGCATATGCATCGTAAATTTGTTTTTTTCTTACTTGCGACGTTGACAGATTATCGCCATTATAGTAAAATTTTGCTTAAAAACATGGTATCTAAAAATTCATTGTAGAAGCAAAAAATCAGTTACAGATACAAAAAAAATACGTCTTTCTAATCACCATATGTCCTTTAAGAATTCTATTGAACCAAAATATCAATACATTGTACAGAGTGTTAATGTGGACTTCAATCTAAAACTTTTTAACGCAAATTAAGTTTTGTTTTCCAAAGTATCTATATATTAATACGTCATTAGATAGACAATTTACAAAGTTCCAAATTTGCATTTACACTTTAAGCTGTGAAATCAACCGTTTCCAAATTATAATTTATTTTATTTAAAAATTTCAAAAAGTTGTTACATTTTGTAAGGTGGCTATGGAATTCATTAAATAAGTGTCATATAGGTACTACCATTTGGAAAACAAAAGTTATATTGCGTTAAAACGTTTTAGATTGAAGTCCACATTGTTAACACCCTGTGCAATGTATTCATATTTTGGTTCAATAGAATTCTTAACGGATCTGTGGTGATTCAAAAGACGTATTTTTTGTATCTTTAACTGATTTTTTTTTGCTTCTACAATGAATTGTGCGTGAATAAAATGTGCGCACTTTATGCGTCAACAACTTTTATATGAAACTATTTTTCGACAGTTCAACACCATCGGAAATAATGGACTCTATCGCACTAAAAAAACACAATGTAGAATTATAGTCGTTCTTATGGCAAGTGCGGTAGTTTGTAAAAGTGTAGTGAACTTTTTGAGTTTTAATGGGAAGAAAATGGATGAGAGGATGGGTGCACCAGCTTGCAGAAAACTGGTAAGAATGATCTATAATTTATAAATCTTTTAGCTCGAACTCAGTTTAGTTTTCCGACAAGCAACTGTTTTATGGATTCTTGATATTCCTCTCTCTTTGCTTTGCTGACTTCAAAAGGTTGGCGTTGTACAGATTTTCTCTTGTATTAAATACATTTTCTTCTTTCTTTCCAGGTGGCACGTCGCAGCTTTTGGTAAGTTTAGCATTACTTTGCCCCTGGTTGCCATGTACATGTAGAACTCTTAGTCCCATATGCATCAACTGACTCATAGGGTGGATTTGGTATCGATTGAGCTATTGGTTCCTTCGCAGTTAATTTTTAAACTAAGAATATTTTGGGTGGCTTTGTATTTTTACATCAAGCTTATCTGAAAGTTTTCGCTAAAAAACCGCTTCAGGTATCGATATTTGTGTTCCTGTATTAAATACAATTATCATCAGCTTACGGATTTTCTAAACCAAAACCGAAATTTTTTAACTTTGGGAATATTTTGGGCGGCTGTAAGTTTCTAAAGCTATAAAGAACCGCTTGAGATATGAAAATTTGTGTTTCAGTTTTATGTATTTTGTCAAAAAAGTTATAAGTTTTAGTTTTGTCTGTTTTTTTTTATTGTGAAATCGAAGAACCATTTGAGCCATACAGTTTGTTTTCATACCATTGGATAGTGAATTGAAAATTCGATTCAGTTATAAAATAACGCGTGTGAGTAAATTATAGTAGATTTGTCACAAAATTTTAATATCAGTCATTTAGGTGCAAGTTTACGACAATTTCATTAAATAAAAGAGTCTTCTACAGAATATCTTTCAAGTTTCTACTGGCTATTTTGTTGTAGTAAGTTGGAATTCTTATGTGAAGAGTCATTCAATTCAGTCAGTGCATCAAAATGTGTATTTTCACATCAACATTTACGAATCGCGCAAAATTCAAAATTTGATGTGATTTGTATGATTTTTGAAGGTTTGAACTTGTTTACTGAACGCACAACTCTGAAATTGTAGGGTATTTTCCGTTTCTGAAAAACTCAATTCAAAACGAGCCCCGCAATAGTTCTTTGAAATCCTTCGAAACATTTCTTAATGATCAGTGAAGTACGAAATTTTGATGGCATTTTGAGCGCACTCTGAACTCGTAGATTGTTTCTACGAGTTCAGTTTTCACTTTGTATACATATATTTTCTGTTTTCACTTTGTATTACGCTTAGTATTAAGGGGCGGACTAAAGCTCTACGAGGCCCGGGGCTGGAATTTAACACCTAACAAAAAAATAGTTACCACATTTTTAAGAGCAACATTTGGGTGGCTACAACGCAACTGCACCGGTACGTTGGGTTGACGGACCAAACCATTTCATGTTACAAATTCACTGTTACCCACGCCTAATCGTGCTTCTCGAAAGTTCAAATGGTAGTAAATTAATATTTAATAGTATTTGACAGAAACTATTTATTTTATTAAACGGATTTTTTACAATACGCCTGGTACGTACGTTAATTTAGTTCTTAGCAGCAATTAAGCATACATTTTCTCAAATTCAGGGTCCATGTTGCAAGTCAGAGAAACATGTTCCCAGGAATATAGAAGTCATCAATAAATTCTTTAAATGTATTCCGATATTTTCAGTAGTTACAATAGCAACTATTGGCTTCACAATTTTGTTCTCTTTAACATTAAAATGTTTTTTGCAAAATCAGAGGCATTTATTTGAATGTATTATTTTTTGAGGAAACACCCCAACCTCCATAGATTTTGATAGATGCGATATACTGAAGATAAAAATTAAATTTCAAATAATAAAACTTTATTCGATTAAAAGGAGTGAAAAGAACTTTCAGCTCTCAAGTCACCATTCAGAATAAAAACCATTAACATCTATGCAGAAAATTACGTTTTTAATCATTTCTCTATTTGAAACTAAGTAGACGATTCATAGTACATAACACAGAGTACGTGAATATTTATATCTATAAATCTAACGAATGTATGCAAAATTTAATGACTAACGGTATATACAGTGGTTCTATAAATTAATGATTAAAATGTCCGCAATGTTGAATGAAACATGTAACCTTTAGGACGCATTGGGAAATCTAATTCTTATTTATATCAGAATTAATTTCCAAATATTTGAAAGAAACATATCATTGGAATTTAAAAATAGCTCTTAAATAGGTTTTTCCATATTTTTTTATACCAGTCTCGTATTAAGTATTCAAAAAGATTAATAAATGGAGTAGTGAAATGCACGAAACATATTTTGCCTTGATATGAAATTCTTGCTATCGTTCAGCGTTTATACCGTCATGTTAGGCAAAAACCCCAACTGGAAAATAATGAATTAAAATTTAACAGGAGCTTAGCTTGGTAATACAGTAATTACAAGCAATTAAAAGTTGGCTGTTGATTTTCAATTTCATATACTCATCAATAAACAAAAAAGACTCTAAATGTTGTCACCAAGTTCCATGAATTTTCACAGCTGTTGTTCCAAGCTCAAGCTTCTATAGGCTTGAGCGTTTTCAGAGTTACAGATCTCAAGAATACAACACAGGCTTAACTATATATAAGATCTTGTTTGTTTGAGAAAAAACACGTAATTCGAAGTTGATTTATTGACAATTTTGTAATGTACAGCTACATTAATCACTCAATTCACATTCAAAATCGAAAGTTTTAAGAGATAAAAACCAATAAATGTCTTGGAGGATTCATACTATTACGTAGGCAGGGCAGGTTAATACAATTTACATATCAAAACCGTTAAAATAATTTGGAAACAAAAAAAATCAAAATACTAATTTTTCAGATAAAACTAATATTTAAACTATTCCATAGAAAAATCTAGGAGTTTATTAATTTACGTTTGTACAAAAGAAAGTAGTCGACATTCACTTACATTCTAGATATACAGTCGCAATAGTATAAAAATTTAAATCACACTACGCAAATAATTTATACTTACAAAATAATCAATTGGTTCTATATAGCAAGTACATTTTAAATAAATTTAATTGGAATTTTAAATTCTGGAGCAACTCGTTCAAAATTTAAATTCCCTAATTGCTTAAAACTCACCTCTGGCGATATCAATAAAATCATGTCGAATTTATTTAAAAACAGGTCTAAGTTTTATTTTCTGCGCCACTGTCAGAAAATACAGTAATTTCAGCTAACTACCTCCAGCTCAAATGCCCAATGGCTCAAAATGAATAAATTTTTTATGGACTGAAAATATTTAAAACCCTCACAAAAACACAACTATGGTGAAAATTGCACTACGCATAAATTGTACATCACTATCAACAGGAGCCATTTACTTCGAACTCCGACTTTGCAGATCAAGATTTTTGCCTAATAAATTATACGGCTACACTGCTTGATGAATCTTCAATTATTTTATTTTATCAAATCTATAGTCGGGCCCAGCCATATCAATGGCCCATCGGAATTTGTCTCGCTGAGTTTTATTATAAATTTTCTCAATTGGAACCGAGTATTTCTTACACCATGCAACTGAAATTCTAGGGTCCAGATAGTTCAGTTTTGAAGTACCCAAAGCAATTGTTTTATTCTCGTCTCGATCAGTTTCCTATAATATCAAACAATATTTTATTATTTAACCAAATCAACTAATAATATATGTGTCGTGCGTAATTATGCAAAAGGAGTATTTATACTTTTATTCAGGCATTTGTAATTTACCTGAATTTCTAGTTTGGCTAATTGATCCTTCAACCGTTCTAGCGTTTTCTTTTTCTTATCGTGAACCATTTTTTCTTTAACGCTTCCATGTTTAGCTTCTCTCTGTGCATCTTTCACTTGTCGCTCAGCATCCTTAATTTGATCACGCTTTGCATCGATTTTCTCTTTAAGTTTCTCCATCGATTTTTGGTGTCCTTTTGGTACCGCCCTGAAAACAAATAGATCACTTGCAATACTGGTAACAACTAGCCAAGACCCAAATAATAAATAGCTTGAAAAAAGTTAGAATTGTATTGGATAACATGAATAATGAATGATGAATAACTGATAACAGCTGCTGATACATACATTAAATAACTCGGTCTACGGTCCGGTTCAAACTGACTTACCTTTGATGGTTACATAATACAGCTACGGCCCTGTTCGCTCTATTGTAAGATAAAATCTTTTCGGCAATCGAGTCATCTTCATTCGTTAGTTCGTCGAGTTGTTGCTGCAGAGTCCATGAGGCGTTATACGTACGGAAAACTTTGGCTGTCAGTCCTTCCATCAAATCATTTAGATGTTTGTTCATGATTTGAGTATTCAGCCTAAAAATGTGAAAGAGTATATTATATGTATTTCCATATCTATTTTTTTGTTGAAACAAGTGGGTTTTTCGGGTTTTTAGGCCGTCGTTCGGTATCTGATCATCCGGTTCTGATCATCAGAACAGTGTAAGCGTTCAAGCAAACCACTTCTGAACGAACGAACGACGGCCTAAAAACCCGAAAAACCCACTTGCTTCAAGGAATGGCCTCGAAAGTCTATCTCTTTTGATATTTTTTTGTTGTTTGTTTAAAATGCGGATGATTTACGGCCAATAAATCGCACGTTATTACACTAAACACTTAAGAAAAACTGAACGAATGGTTTAATGAAAATCTAAATCATGTCGTTTTTATTAGTTAGTTAGTCTATCTCAAATTAAGTGTGATTAATGAATATAGGATGGAAAAAGATAGCTCCAATACTCCAATAGATGTCGAAATTACTAAAAAAACATTCTTGCGCCATAAAATTTTCCTTAATGAAACTTACCTATCAAAAAGATCATCTCCTTTTTTCTTGTTCTCCATAAACAGTTGTAAATTTTTAAACACCCTTTTTTCTACCGGCACCTCATTATAGTACCGAATAGAATCCTTTCCAAGGAAATCGAATACGACTACGTAATCTTTGCCATCTTTTTCCTCGTGGAGCTCAATATGTTCACAACGCAATGAACAACAACCGACAGTATCTGCCTGGTCTTCATCCTTTTCATTACCTATAAAATGTTTGAATATATTTTATATTTATTACGGGAAATTTAGAAATACAGAAAACCCATTCATAGTGGGATTTTCCATATTCCTTGAAGTAAGCTATATTGCATAAGACTTACCTGCCCTGAGGGCCAATTTATCTATAAAATACAAAGCCACAGCTCGTTGCCTAATTTTCATTTCCTTGGATTTTAAGTCAATTTGATAGTTTTCTCTGATTTTGTTAACTTTTTGATGTAATTTTCTGGCCGTTTCATACTTTTGCCAGTCTTTTTCTCCTTTCAATTTTGAGCTTGGATTTAACATTATGTATTTAACTTGGTTTTGTACGTTCTCCGTCCAGGATGCCAGCCATGTTACTTTGTCATCATGACGGACTTCTTTCCACTTATGACCGGGCGGTGCCACCGGTATAGTTGACTCTTTGCTACAGTTAATTATTACATCTTCAGCTTCAACACGCCTCTTGAGTTTTCCCATTTTTGGATGTTCACCTCGACCTATACCAAAATCATTTCGTTAGTTCAATAACAGATGTAATTTTTGACACGTGTAAAAAGTGAAAGTGAAACCAAATATTGTAATATGGAATAGGGAAACTCTACATACGAATACCTCAATATAAAACATTTTGTTTGGCTTACCCCTAAAAAGTCCTGGTGGTTCAATTTTGAAGTTGCCAATTTTTTCCTTGTGTCCATCAATGGTACAAAAACCAAATTCTTTTAATAACGCCTCGTTCTTTTCTTTTAACGCTAATTTTTCTTCCTTTGTTCTGTTCCTATTTTTCTCAGCGAGATCCATAAAATACGCATGTAACTGCTTGAAATTACACTTCGAAAGATCAGTTATAACTTTTCTTTCTTCATCAGTCATAGCTGAAAATCAGAAACGTGTCAATTAATTAAGGAGTTATATGATAACTAATAATATATCTAAGCGAAAATAATTGTAATTTGTAAGTCGCATTAAATTAAAAATCAGTCATGACTACAACCAAGAATCGTTACTTACAGGCTCTCCAGTCCTTGAAGAAATTTTTATTAAAAATTTCCTTTGTTGTATAATCGTGATCCAACATCTTGGCATAAAATCCAGCAATCTCTTCAGCATCTTCACTAAGTTTCATTTCTTGACCATTATAGAAAAATTTCACATCTTTAGGCAGTGGCTCATAAGGCGGAGCGAAAACGGGGCCTTTATGTTCAAGATAATTCCATTTAACTCCATCTTCTTTCTTTTCCTCTTCCCACCTGGAAATAATTAAATTGTGGTTAAACAATCACTTTTTGACTGGCGTATTTTATTATTAAATTTTTTTTTTAAGTTTGCTCAAATTAAATACATAAATTTCGACAATTGGCTGCTAAATGTGAATAATATATGCAATATGAATAATTTTTAAAAATTCAACATTAATTTAATAATATAATAACAATATCATAAGTCGAATTAGGATTTAGCAAAAATGTGCTAATTCTTGAACCAACAAACTGCTAAACCTCCTGCATATAAAACCTGACGATCTGAATATACTGAAAGTTTGAAATGAAGTAGGATTATAATTTCATGTTATTCAGATTGAACTAGTCTAGAATGTAGAATAACAGAATATAAAAGTTCTTCATCTTACCGCTACTTGAAAGAAACTTTCCAAATACCTTTGCATTCTTTTCGTACTTCCATTTAGCGCACGATTATAACTCGATGGCAGTTCTTTCACTTGACAAACCGGTGCAAGCGAGTGATCAGATACATAGTTAACAGAAGAATTTAAACTAACAATTTGTTTTGCTGCAGTCTCAAAGTTATTTATTCTCTTCGGAGACTCTTTGTATCTGATTTTGAAATGCACGTTGCGTTTCAATATAACGAGTCTACTTATGTAACGAAACCCATCCATTGCCCATCCAGTGATATTCAGTACCAATAATTAGAATTTCTAATATTTTAAATGAAATTAAACTTAAAGACCTGTCAATGAGGCATGTTTCCAAAAGAATGAAAGGCGCACATTTGCCGAACTCAGGTGTTCATGACATTTTACCATGAAGTTAGCCGAAAGGCTAAAGCGCGATTGCCATGTTTAGAATATTTTATATGGGCGCGGTTTCAAAATGCCGTGATATTAATCATGAAAGTAAGTTTTTTTATGAGTTATACGAGTATAGTTTTTGAATATAGATTATGGATATAATATGCATTATAATAAAATACTATTTTAATATTAATAAGCACAATGACTTCCGATCGATGTAATTTAAGAACATTATATTTAAAATGTATTTCCGTTCTTAATTATTGCATTGTTCGAGCGGTTGCAAGTCATCATTTTCCATAACCCATCCATTGGATGTATTTTGTTAAAAAAAACCATTGTTGTAATACTTACCATTTCCAAACCTCCGCTGGTTCTTCCTCTTTCTTTTTTCTGCCACCCTTTTTAGGGCTTTCTTCTTGCTTGATTTCCTGTTTTATTTTTTTCTCTTTTTCCTTTTTAATCTGAAAATAAACACATATTTTATATACAGGTGAGAAACATCAACAATAAGTCAAAAGTTGAATATTTCCAATATTCATTTAAATAAGTACTACGAAAACATACAAAAATAATAAATAGAAAGGATTATAAATTGAAAAGAATAAGAAACAACCTTTGCAAATCCCTTGGAAACGTTTGAGTTGTACTTTCATAAATGAATGCACAAACAATCATACTTACGTAACATTTACACATTAGCTCACCTTTTTCTTCTTTTGAGGCTTATAGTCTTCCTCGGGCTCTTCTATGTCAGACACTACGCGTTTTTTCTTTTTCTTTTCCTCCTTTTTAATCTTTTTCCTTGCCATTAGAGGCACATCGTCGTCGTCATCTTCTTCATCATCTTCGATTTTTCGCTTGTTATTACTCATCCTACTCGCCTAATAATAAAATAATAACAGTAGGCAATTAAAACCTAACAATGGTATAACAAATAACTCGATATTTAATCTACTTTGCATTGATAGAAATTTAATGAAATAATTGTCACGCAATAATTAAAATACTGTTACAAATAAAAAAAATAAATCGCATTTCTAAGAAAGCAATAATCATACCCTGTCTCTCAAGTGCTGCATGAAAATATAAAAACATTACTGAAGACGCAGCATATTTGCATATATTTATATTTAAATAAATAATAAACTCAACATACCAATGGAATGTCTTCCTCACTATCCTCCTGCTCTTCTTTTATCATCGGACCTTCACGTTGAGATTCATTTATTTGCGATTCCGACTCGCCCCTTTCTCCTTCATCAGAGTAATCAAATCTTGACTCGTTTGTATCAAACTGGGATATATTGTAGTCACAACTAGAACCCTAGAAAGCAAAACACATTTGAAAATCTAATAAAGTCTTATAATAACAATTGTAAAGGTCTGTAATAAAGAGAATACCCATAAATTAACTGGTTTACCTGAGACATATTGTTAGGGACATCACTTTCATCCTGACTATAAGGTTCATCCTTTATGACCAATTTGTTGTCATCATCGTCATCCGTGTTAAGCGATTCTTCTTGCTTCACTTGATTTTCGTAGATATCTTCTTTAACCTTAGGTTTGAATTCATCATCTATAAAAAACAATCATAGTGTGATTAAAACTATAATAATAAACTAAAGTAGTAATATGAAATACATGTTTTGCCCGACTCTCTTCGAAACTAAATCCAGTTTGAACGCAGAAAATATGTATTTCGTAAGCCAAATTTCAATTGTAATTTAACTTACACATTGTCCAAAGTAAAAAAGTCCAATTAATGCTCTGCGAAAATGTTTCCTTTATAGCATCTGCTTGGAATAGCTTAACTCTTCCGTGTTTATTTACTCAGTTGATTTGAATTATTTCATCAAACGTAAGATAATTTTCAGCTTTTTTATTTAAAGGAAAATAAACCATTTATCTTTTACCTAAAGTCTCTACTTACCAAAAATATATCCATACATCCAGTAAAATTCATCCATACTACTTCGGATATGCGTAAAGTGTACGATAGAGCACACGATAGATTTCCGGTAAAATGTAACAATTTTTGGCTTATAAATAATTAAACAACCAATTTGGACATAAAACTTGACTCGACAAATGTCCAATTTTGACAATTTTTCGTGTTAGATAGAGATACATAAATAAGCACGCCAATACAAGACAGTAATATGAAGAATGGAAAACATCAAAATCACTCACCTGAATCTTTCTTATCCTTGCGCTCCTTTTCTTTGTGCTTATCTTTCCTATCTTTATCTTTGGAATGATGTCGATCTTTATCTCTGTGTTTATCTTTCGAGCCACTGCTTGAGGTATGTTTTCTATCTTTGTCTTTATCCTTTGATTTATCTTTATCTCGATCCTTCCGATCCTTATCTTTAGACCTCTCCTTATCTTTATCTTTGTCTTTAGTCGAAGACGAACTCGATTTATGGTCTCTATCCTTAGAACTCTTGTGTTCTCTGTCCTTCTCCTTGTTGCTGGAACTAGATGATTTCTTCTCTTTATCGTCTTTTTGCTTGTCCTTGTCACGATGCTTGTCCTTATCGCGATCTTTGTCTTTGCTGGACGATTTATGCGAACTACTGTGCCGCTCTTTGTCTTTCGAGTTGGAATGCTTGTCTTTGTCTCGATCTTTCTCTTTACTGGATGACTTGTGATCTTTGCTCCGATGTTTATCTTTATCTCTATGTTTGTCCCGGTCTTTATCTCTGTGCTTATCTTTTTGATCGGATTTGTACTTATCAGAATAGCCGTTTACTCCGTTCAATGGTGCCACAGAATCGCCGTCACCAGACTGTAACAATAATAACAGAAGTAAGCCTTTTCACTTGACTATAAAAATGATTCGAAGTTATGCTAATTAATTTCTAGGTACATATTTAAAATTAAAAAAATGAAGTGCGCTTGATGATTTTTAAGTAGAAATAATGTGACATCACAGTACGTTTATATTTGAACATTAGTTTGCACAATTTTTTAAAATAAATAAACAAAATACTAAAAACGCCTCAGTATCGAGCTCGTTACAATGTTTCCCATGACGCAATTCGTCAAAAATATGTACTTATTAAACAGTGGCTGTCGAACGTTCAATTCATTCATACTATCTGAAAGTATTTCAGTAAAATTAAGTTAACGCTTAGCTCATTCACCATTAAATGAAGAATAATACATAATATATTGTGTAATAAACTCCAACATCAATGTTCTTAAACTTGCGTTCATCTGTAGGAAAGAAAAACGTTCATGTAGAAGAACTAATAAAAAATATACCGTGTGTCCTTAAAGTGGAATGCAATAAATAGTTCTTCAGTAGGTTTAATATCCGTCCTAACTCCTTCGCCATTCATTCAAGAACAATTATAATAAGATAATGTAGAAAATACTCCTCTCTAAGAACAATTACTGAAAAGTGTCTGCCAAAACAGTAATAAGTAAACACCGATTTAAAAAAAACGAGTTTAAGCTCCTCCATCTTCAACGTTCCTTTAGCCATTCTCGTAAATCAACCACATGGTTTCAGGAAAAACAGTTATGGTCTTTTTAGATATCTAATTTTTTTGTAATGTTCAAATCTGTAACTGGAAAAGAAAGCCGTTTGAAGCTTTAACTTCAAATTAAGCTGAAACAGTATAAGATAAGAATAAAAAAAAGGTCTCGTGAATCTCGTATTGCAGTTTATGCACTGTTGCAATGAGCACTGAACATAAATTTTTATGTTCAATTAATGTACAATACAGGCGGGGCGTTTATATAACAATTATAGGTTTAAAAAATCGTAGTTGGCAGTTCCATATAAAAAAAAATGTGTTTAATCTGCAAAAAAGTCCGATAATCCGCATGGGACATAAACATGAATGATGCAAAAATGTTTCATTTTCGATATATCTACATTATGAAGTTTTAATGAGCCTTTTATTGATTTAGATTGTGACATACATTTTAGAGTACGGAGACCATCGAAGACTAAAAATTTAAACACGGTATTTTAATAACAGTAGATTGGCGGAGAAGGGTTCGATGTAAATGCATTAAATCAACTCTTAAATCTGTTATCACTTTGTATCCCACGTTTCGTATCATTTCATCTGTTCCATCATTTTGTAACACACTATGTACACTTGCTTATCTCAAAAAACATTTTCTTTTACGAAACATGCTGTTTCTGATTCAGTTCCAATATGTTATCATTAAAATAGTTCCAATATTCTAAGGTCTAATTTCTTACTTCAAATCATAGCCTGAATGGTTTAGATTTTAATTCATTGGAAGCATACTTAACGGAACTTTGTATACCGGAAAACAAGCAATTGATGGCTGGTTTATATGAGAATATTGGCTATTGAGTAGAATATGCATTGAACACTAATTTCCGGTGGCGCTTTAGATATTTTTTAATTATTATATTTTTACCAGGAGTTTTATTAATTCAAATTTGTGATTTTTATACAACCTTTCGTCTAATTGATCAAAATACAGTAGTGTTTTGCACATTGCGTTATATTAATGCTGCATGGAAGCTCTTAACACGTGTTTCTAACTTTACTAGACCAAATGTTTGCATTCTTTGATATACATATTATATTTGGATTTGGATATTAGTTTAACTTCAGCCTGCTAACTAAAATTAAACGTGGAAAGAACCAGTACAGGTATTATAAACAATTTTATCAGTAGACTAATAGAGTTGCAATAAAAATAACTTAAATGCAGTTTCAGATATTTTTTATGTGGAACACAATTACTGAATTGTTCGTAGAATGTTAGGTTTATTTTCTGGCAATTTGTTATCTTTGAATGATTAGCAACAATTACTAGATACTTGAAAGTTATTTAAGATTTATACATAAAACATAACAAACAATAAGAGCATCTTTATAGAGCAATTATGCAAGTGGGATTGAATGAGAACTTTGCGTTGTGCTGCTTAACTTTAAAACACCAGTATTGAAATGTAATAAACTAATCTGTGTCATGAATTAGAATCATACAAAGGAAAACAATAATTAGGCTATTAACCAGGACTTATTTGGAGGAATAACCGTTTATTTACGACAAACACGAACGAATAAATCACAGTAAATAATAGGTAATTGTTTAATCTTTAAACTGACGCAGTTTCAAACAGGACAATTCAAGAATAATGAAGAAATTTGTAAAAATCGGGAGCGCGTGCTTTCTACAAAGGTGAGACGTGGGACTTAGCCGCTGACGCCATTTTGGGACTTAGAAAAATTTCGACCATATTCAAGACGAATCGCCACCAGTAAAGCGGGATTATGTGAGCATTTTGAGCAAAACTAGACAGGTAGAAACATGGACAATAAAAAATGCAACAATTAAAGGTACTTACCGGGCCAAGAGCTTGATCACGATCAGAGCTTTTATCTTCCATACCGTCGAAAATCTGATCAAAAACTAACATAGAAAACTAGCACTTGCACATTTTACAAGTCCAACACCGATCGCAACCAAACGACAAAGTATTCAAGAGGACCTAATGCGCAATCGCCAAGCAAATTACATTCGCACGACGTCCATGAACCCCGCCATATAATTATCTCTGTCTCCCACTGGTGCCTGAATGGACCGGACATAACGTAGGTTGGATCGTATTCTACCTGCGTCTATCTTAGGGGAATCGGTATTATTGTGGAAAGGATCAAACAGGTCAGGTGCCGAATCCAATGAATCTATTAGAGTGGCAGCAGTTTCAAACGAATGTAGTGATCTTTGCGTAATTCATGGCGCGGAAATTTAAATTGTTTGGGTTTCAAATGTGCATTTTGAAACACTAGTCAATAAACGAAATGATCAATTAATAAAACTTGCAAATGTTTCAATTTTCTTATGTTTTTTACATGTTTGTACGCTAAAATACAAGGGTTCAAATTAACATACTTTGTTTTTTCTTAAAACGCAACTTTATAAAGGCGGTTATTTTTTCTCTTCAGACAAATAAAGGAAAACAAAATGCTTCAAGAATTGATAAAACCGATCATTTTATGATAATTGAACTTTCAAAGATGCTTGCGGTCAAATTTTGGAATAATATAATTTTCGTTATACATGATGCTTCCCTTTTTTGCAAGAAACTTAACCCGATATGAAAATTTTTGTAGACAGAACCACATTGTAAGCTACCCTATTGTGCTATAGTTTTCCTAGCATACAAATTTAAGTCATTAATCCGGCTCCAAATAAATTTGATTATTCCTCCAGAAAAATTCTCTTAACATTGCTCAGTTCAGTATCTACGCTGGAATGTATCTGAGTTCAGCAGTATTTTTCCATGTAATCATAAAATATCAATAAAATTCAATTGGCTAATTCTATTGAAGAATATCTAAGAATGTTGGCCATTTAGATATAAGTATAACTAATTTGGCACAGTGTTCAAATCGAAAAAACCTCCTCTCACATTGTTTGTTTGTGCCTCTCCCTTCATAAATGGCTAATTTAATGCAATAAATTGCTTCATTTAAGAAGTAGTTTTACTTAATTAATACTAAATACTCTCCAGTCATTCAAAATACGTTTCTACTCACAAAAGCTGCGAGCAAATCAAGCAAATTTTTAAAGGCCTGTTATTCGATAAACCCATTTGAGATCATTTCGGCATTTTACCAAAAAAAGACAGGTTTGTTTCGTAACTTCAATATGGAAACAAACCATTTTTTAGTACGCTTTTATTAAATTTTCCATGTTACTTAAAAAAACAATATCGGAAAAATTACTTTCAATTCATAATGTAAGCTTTATGCAACTGTGCAATAGTGCCTGGTCGCACACCTCACAAACAGTAAAAACATCATTTAAGGAACAACAAAACAATAGGTCTTAATAAAATTCGTCTACAAACTAACAATTTTTTTAGTTTTTTTTCTAAATAGTAAGTAGCCCTAAAGCTCTGAGACTAGAAAGAAAATAGTAAAAGCATTCTTCCCATACTGCGAACGGTACAGTTGCAAGTCTGCATGCCATTTATAACAATACATCCATCATTCGAATAAAATGTTAATAAGCAGAAGTGACCAACCCACAAATAGCCAAAACCTAAAACTAATCTGATTTAAGTAGAAATGGCACAAAATTTCAATTTAGAAACCAAGTAGGTCTAAAAAAGTCCTCACCGGTGTTAAACTGAAGTGTTGAGAGTTGAAGCTGTATCAATCCATTGATAATATCATCAATTAGTGAGATAAAAAATTAAATAAAAAGTTCATCACTGATATGCAATCCCCATATAAATCGAAGCGACTGCACCACAATGTCACCAATATATACACTTCAAATTTGTTCTATAATATACAATATTAACAATCGATATTTTAGTGCGGCTATTTACAATCATCTCTCCTTAGTATATAAAAAATATTAGCGCCTTAATTAATGTGATTATAAATTTGTCGCTTTTAATGCACTTCATTGCACATTTTTAATACCGACTTATGAAAACAGAGAGTTTATAAAGCAAAACAATTTGGAACAAAATTTGCCTTATAATAACGTACAAGAAAGTTTATTGTATACAACACTAGAAACCTGTTTTTCTTACTGCATTGATGAAACACAACAAACATCACTTCAAGCAAGTTATTCTGGCTATTAACCCCTAGAACATTTTTGCTCAGGGCTGATGAAAACTTCTAGGAAAACCAAACTTTCTCTAAACAAAGTATGTACTAATTATAGCATTGAATTACTAAACTAAAACCCATCACACCCTTACAAAATATAAAATATTATTTAAGACGCTGTCCAAACGCAGTTTTCAAGTGTTGCAAAAAATGTAGCTAGTTATACTCTATAAAAAATTAAATCCTTTGAGGAGTTCTATGCCACCGCGGTTACATTATGCCTTAATTTAATGGTAACAATTCAATAAGTCTTACATGTAACATTTTACATCTCTTTATTCCGTCTTTGCATTCTGCTTAATCAGTTTCTCTCGACTCTTCTCTTTTCTCAGCTTCTCTTTGAGTTGTGCCGTCTTCAGAGTGGTCATTAATTGAGTTGATTGGTACAACCAATTACCCTAAAACGTAGATATAATATGATTGTAAAATAAATAGAAACATACATTTTCAAAAAAAATTAACTAGTTTGTCAATAAATACTCACGACCATTAACATGCAGTTGATCAAAATCGGCATGGAGAACACAATGGAGATGAAAAGACCATTGCTATCGAAGTATTGTTGCCGTGAAAATATTTTCCAATTGGTCGAAGCTAAATTGTTGATGTTTTCTGAGAAGTATACCAACAGTACTACAAAACAATTGTTATGTATAAGCAGAGATTATCTTTCTGGTATAAGTTAGGATCAAACATCGATTACGACTAAAGGTCGAAAAAATTGTCCGAAAAGCTTTTAGTCGACTTAATGTACGCCATAGCGCGTTTTTTTATGCCAGAAAGGAACCTTTCGCTTACGGTTCTTTTCAAAACAACCTGAACGCTCTTATTGCCAGAACGCGCAGAGCAACCAAACAAAGCATTCAAAGGCAAAAGTAATATGGAAGAATACTTCTAATTGTATATGTATTATGTCTGGTGATGTGTCCGAGCTACAGCTGTCGAGGTATATGAATTATTTGACCAATTTTGAGCAAAAATTATTATTTTCACTTTTTCTGAACTTTCAATGCTTGATGAAATAATATCTCGATAACTCGGTGCTATAGAGCAGTTGGTAAGGAGTGAATTAATTGAATTAATTAAAGTTTTGCCGCCAGATAACTTGGTACTTGAATTATTAGCAACTAGACAATTTTTTCACCAGTAGCCGATATCGGAATTTCCTAACATACAATAAAAGCAAATCTAGACTAGCAAATTTCTCTGGTTATTCAGAGCTTATTTTAAGTACCCACTTTTCTCAATCTATTGAGCGCTAATCGAATAAACTTCGGAGGGTGTTTGAAATAAATTAATTACTTCAGAATTATTTACTTTATTAATATACCCAACAAAACCTAGTTAGCATGACACAAATAGAATTAAAAATTTAGTGATTGCCAAAGAAATTAAACATGTATCAGCGCTAAAAAATAAAACCAATAAACGAGGTAGCAACCTTAATTAATTCTCTCACCTTTCAACCTTTTGATACATTAATATTGGTTAACTTACAAAGGAAGAAAAACAAAAGCGCCTGAAAATTTCCATAATTTCTTGTCAGTATGGCCATCATACAAATCGATAAGTGAAATGTGAAAAGTCCTATTAGCCATGGGTCTCGCCATTCAATCTGCAAAAATAGATTTTAGAGAATTAAAATAGATATTTATATTAAGCATCCTACAGAGTGAATCTGATAAGTTTCTATCAGCTATTTTCCATTCAACCCATGGAGCGATAAATGTTGCAGACAAAATAACGATTTCTAAAAATAATTTGGAATTAAAAAAGCACGCGTTTTATAAAAATATCCAGCCTCAAGGTTTCTATTCAAGAGRGTCGAGGTAATTTTTCGTCTCAATACTGTTTACATGATCCATCGAAATCCAGTCGAATTGTCCTGATTGGAAAACACAACGTAAAATAAATATCACTTTACCTTAATCTATAGGGCTTGGCATGTAATTGTAGTGTCTTCCAACTCTTGKATATATTTAGGTAGTTCACATTTTAGGATTAAATTTTTGATGCATGCGACAAAAATATCGCGTAAACGTAGTAAACAAGATGATGCGCCTTTTAAAAAACCCCAGAGTGAAGTTTTTAATTGATGTTGAAAAGCTTAAACACTTTCAATATTGGACAATTAATGTCTACTGATTCCAAATTTTTAATTTATACCCTGATAAACTCAAATTTCACAATAGTTAAGTACATAATAGTAGTTATTAAATGAATTTGCAGTTATATTGACCTTAATTAAACCTGATTGCTTTTTATAAGTTATGATTTAAAAAAAATGTACCTGGTCCTTAATTAACGCGCACTCAAGATCACACCATACTACTAGCACTTAGTATCTAATCTGTTTTGTTATTAGAGTTCCACATTGCTACTTTCAGCCATGAGTGCATTTAAAATAAATGATAAAATATTCTAAACAAACGATAATATTTGATAATATACACTCGGGAAACAGAACATTTGAACTCTAAAGCTGATTATCCATCTATAATTTATTTAAAACCAAAATGTTTAAAAATATATTAATAAATTATTAAACTTACATTGGATAGATATGCAATAAATCCCTCTAATTTGCTAATGTCAATAAACTCTGTATCACTCATACTAAAGCCGGCACTTTCTAAAAACACGAAATAGAACCAATCTGGAATAAACAATTATTGTTTATTGATGAAAAGACTTTGTAACTTTAATATTTGACAGGCAGTTTTCAAACGACAGATTAAAGATGAGCACAGATCACAGAGGTACTCTGCGATCTGTGAATATGAGTACCATATCCGCGACATTGCCAAACAACCTCAAACGTTACGAAAATAGGACCATGCTAGTTTTATTTAAACAAACGCAATTAATTCTGAAAGATATATTGTGGACTATCTATTTATAATTTTTCGGTTTACCACGTGCCCGAAGGTATTGTATTTTTAAAGGCATTTTAAGGAAAATATATTTTAGAGACACCCGTCCAAATTTTCAAGCCCACGTTATTGTCAAAATGGTGAACAACAATTAGTGTTTGTTAAGTCACTCCGCAGAAATGTCCAAAAATATCAAAAAGTTTATGTTTTTGGGCAGAAAATGCCTAGTTTTCTAAAACAGAACGTTTTCCTTTGCCGTTATTATTTTACCGGCCCGTTGTGTGATTTGAGCAATTCCTCGCGAACTTTCAAAATGCAGACTCTATTAATGTTTTTCGGGGAGAGCCGCTAAAATCGACTAGGTATACAGAAAACATCCAACTGCTTTTGACCGATGAACACATAACTGGTTTAACATTATCAATTTTGCATCATAAAGAAATTATCCGAAGATTATTTTTTAAAAGTCAAGGATCACGCTGAAACCAACCTTTGAGACACCCGGTGTCTCAAAAAATATGACTATTCAGAACCAAATACGAATTGTTTCCCGAAATATTTGTCAATAAGTTGTTAACTAATTTAAATTTTTTTAAAACTTTCATAACGCATTGTATTTAAAAGTTCACCAACTGGACTGTAAGACATACAAAAAATTGACTGAGAGAACGTAGAACTATTTATATAAAAATAAAAATTACATACTTTATTTTACAAAAACCAAGTTATTTCTTTACTTGCATCAAAATGATGCAGAACCTACAAAACGTATTATCCTCTCTCTACTCTCAAAAATCGGGTTCATATTTATCGTACTTTCCGCAATTCCCAGACTCTATCCTGTGTCTCCTCTAAATAGTTTTTTCTCACAAAGCTGTGGACTAAATTTTATAAAGGGGAAGTTACTCATAAAAATTGTTCTGACCTTTCTTTTAACGTGTTAAAATATATAAAAATAAAATAGAATTCAGTGTTCCGTTAAGGAAAAAGTTTGGAAAACCCTGCTCTAAACAGTCGCATCCAATATGTTTTCCATTCTACAGTAACACCTTAAACGAAGTTTACTCGCACTTTTCTTAACTTTGAATTAATTTGCATTGTGCCTGTGCAAGTTTCAACTTGATAGATTGCCCAAAAACAACAGACATTGTGCCTCACTTTCGTCGGTCTCTTCAAAATATGCTCATTTAGAAATGCTATTGTCTCTAAGCCATTGTATAAGTATCTAATGTAACATATCTCGTACTTTCAATTTAAATACAGTCACATTTAGGGAGAATCATTACTAAATGAAACCAATCTTTGCCAATTGTAAACGGATTTTTATTCCACAAAAAATTAATATATTATTCACAGTACTCAAGTTTCTATAAAACAACAGAAGTGTTTACTTCTCTTTACGTTCGCTCAATAGTGAATTATGAAACCTGGTAACTTCATTTTCAACCAGATCTTTACATATCTGACCATTCACTGTTATGAAGTTGGCACAACTTTTCTTGGATTCGACGCTTCGAACATTCCCGGTTTTTGGATCTTTAACACGTATAGTCAGATTATATTTATCATCGTATCTGGAAAAATATTTTGTTAATACTAAATTTCCAAATAACAATGTTTTTTAAAAATATGTCTAACGCAAAATAGATCGCAGATAAAAATAGGTTTTTATTAACCTAAAGCTGAATATGCAACGCTTTTAAGATAATATGCTGTTTCTTAAAATATTAATTTCATTTTACAGAGCAGTCAGATATTAGATAAAAATATGCAGGTTTTGCTCTCACACAAAGGAAGATAAATCCTAAAATGCAACTTGTAATAGTTATTATTGTTAGTTTTCTTACTTTTCCATAGTTGAACTGGCAATCCAGACTGTGCCTTTCTTGGGTCCTTCCTTCTGAACGCATATGGCAAAAATGCCTTTCTCCCTATATGTGGTATATAAAGTCAAGATCCCCATCATTATAAAGTATGTTACAACACTGAATATTAGAACTGGTCTGAAATGCAAAATTTATCATTAAAACTGAAATAAGTGACTAGACTGAAAACATTTTAAGTACGTTATAAATAAGTATTAATTTCGTAATCATTCAAATTAATTTCAAGTCGAGTGTACAATCAATTCTTTCCAACTGCAGCAATTGTTCTTTTGGCAACCCGGATAGAATTCGTCCTAGGTGCATAACATTTCTCATTTTGCTTTTCTACTACTATTATAAATAGTCAAGTACCCCGTTAAGTGGTTTCAGAAGTCAATTGCATAAAATAATTAAGTTTTGCTGAAGCAAAATTTTAATTTTACGGTACATATCATTCAGTTTGCATTAAGCTTAAGTTAAGCACCAATTTAAGCTTTTAATAAATGTTTGAAGTCAGTGTCAGTCAAATTAAAATATATTTATGTACTTTTAAAGAACGCATTGCAATTTAGATGAAGTGCATCTTCAGTGTTATCAAATTTTCATCACTTGAGTAGTTGGAGTAGGTCAGTGTTTGCAAATAATCCTTAATATATTCACTGCATATGCAATGAAATAATCTGACGTTGCAGAAGCGAATTAAAGGTCGAAACCGAATTGTTCAGATTCCTGTTAATTTTCGGGCAATCATATTAAATAGTTAATATGTACAGTAAGTTATAGTACAAGTGTGTAGGGCAAGTAGGTACGTGGAAATCATTAAATAAATAAAACATTTAACTGCGCTTGGAAATATCCAGTTGAATTTTACCTCGATTGTGGAAAGGGATATAAGTAATCCCATAATAAGGCAAACATCGCAACCCCTACAGCAATTGTGCAAATCGCGAGTCTGCCATCCATAAGGGAAAAATTCTCAGTATAATTGAATTTCTTTGTGAACACCTGAAACATAATAAACCAATTTTGTAACGAATGCAAAACGAATGATGGTTTTAAAGTAAAGGGAAGTAAGTGTACTCCTTTTGAGCTACGAAGTGTTTATTTCCAGAAAATGTGATTGTGTTAATTGTCGCTAATATCGTAATTCGCAAAACTTGCACATCTTTGTGAGAATATTGCTCAAAAAAATAAATATATTTTTTTATTTGACCTCAATTTTAAAGACGAAAATAATAGATGTTTCATAATGGGTTAAACGCTTTCTGAAACACCATTTTTACTAGGTATGTATTGTCAAAAATCAGTAAGAAGAACGTCCATACCATCCTTTATCAATAAGCGTTGGTGTCTTCACCGACTAATAGCTACAATATGTGAATATTCAAAACATGCACTGTATCCTGTCAGCAGGATATTTTGATAATAAATTTTTGCTCGTTACCGCTTTCACTAAGAAAATATATCTTTAGGAATCTCGTTATTTCTGCCATCACTTACATATTTAGACTGTGTGTCTACCATAGTCATGAGACTTTTAATAATTGTTCATATGTAACAGTTATACTGAAACTGCTCTGGGAAGTTCAGTTCACTTACCCCTAACAAACATGTAATGTATTAAATATGTGCATTTTAAGTACCTCTTTTATAGCATCATCAAGTGAGTTTTTCACTGCTGCACTATCCCATTTGTTGATTTTTACTGTCTCCTAAAAGTAGAACATTGTCCAGATTTAATCAACTATTACTTCAGCATTGCCTGCAACCTCAACTTGAGTGCAAAACTAGTTACCTTCTCATCTTTTCCTTTCGGCTCATTCTCTTTGGGAGCCATAGTTGCTTAAATATTAGCTATTTTAATTGAAATTAACACTTAACAAGCTTTTTTAAAAACACAAGAGAGACACGTCAGAAAAGAGAATATTTTGTTTTGCTTGACAGTTGAAAGGCTACAGTTGTGAAGTTTTCTGTAAAGCGAACTTTATCCGTCCGGTTTGACAACAGCGCAATAGGCTTTTTTTGCTTTTATTTAATGCAATTATATTTTAGAAGGTCACTTTTATATTCCTGGAGTTTGAATTATTAAAAGTAAGTAATTTGAATTGCAGAAGCTCTTCAAGGAATAGTGCTATTTGGTATACTTCTGATGAAATATATTTTATGTATTCCTATGAAATTCCAATTAAATGAGCATATAAAACCGTACAAAATTTGAAATAAAATTTAATGTTAAAATTAAAATTAAAATAAAATGTTATCCGCATAATTCAAAATATGTGTACTTTATTATTTATTTATTTATAAATTTATGTCCGAAATCGGAGCAGATATTTAGAGCATTTTAAAAGAGTAAAGTGCAAGTGTGTGTTTCTTAAACTGGTAAACAGTTAATAAGCAGAAACAAGCACAAAATTGGTTAAGTGGATCTTACAGTTTTAAAACACTTGTTTTTATTGTACCTCTCTGTAATTGGCAATATGCTTACAATTCTCACATACTTAACAATATCTAAAATATTATTTGACGATTTTCTTAGAATTTGTGTTTACTATTCACTATTTCTGTATTATTACAAAACGAATGTGACTATATGTACAAAATAAATTTAATTACTTTTTCGAAGTTAAGCTAAAGGAAACTAACACCAACCAAGATCATAAATAATGAAATAAGCAACTACAGTTTTAATGAAAGTGTTGGAGGAATGCATATCTTAAATCTTGTTTTTTCGAATTGAGTTTTTTTGGACCTACATTGGAGAAATTATATGTATATTTTTTATAACGGTTTCATCTGTTCTTTCCACTAAGTTTGTGGCTATATTTTTCATCATAGCAAATATCTCTTGAGATCTACTATATATACTCTCCATTATAATCTCTGATGATCTTTTCAACATCTCTTTTATGCTTTAGTTCTCAATGATAACATAATAAATCGAATGTAGCTAGACTTCCAAGAAGCAACGTTGAAAGTTTCATATTTTAATTATTTACGTATGTATAAGGCTTATGTTCTTCATAGCCTTAGACATAATATAAGCGCACCTTATGCCGTGAATGTCTTCAGAAAACCATTTCTTCTTATGGAGATATAAGCTTTATCTTTCCGTGACTTCGACATTTCCACCCAGATCCTTTTGCTGGTGATTTGAAGTTGTCTTCACGTAACTTTTGCCTCTTTAGTCAGCCAATGCGGCTCCTTTCGCCTAACAGCTTGATGGCTTTTCCGACTCCAAAGTTGATTAGGTGATTATCAGAAACGGTAATATAAAATAATTAGCCTTAATTGGATTACTGCTTATGTACTGATTGGGTGGCGACAAGATTTTTACTTTTTTTTTATAATGTGTCATTTAATATGATTTCCTTGTATTGGTGATATTTTGTTGACATGTTTGATAAAGCATGGTTTAAAATAAAATATCAGATGTAAAAAATTCAGATGTAATACTTTTGCGCGCTTCTAATATACAATGTGGCAAATTACAAACATTCCAATGGGTCTTTTTAAGTAAATCAAGCAGCTGAAGTGTGGTATCTAACAATTTGTTCACATTTATCCTCCCAAATCTTTTCAAACCGCATTACGGTGAGCTAAAGTAGAAACCGTTGATTATAGAATAGAAAATAAAAAATAGAAATAGTATTTTGCAGCTCATAATAAACGAGGTATTCCTAAGAACGGTGTTGCTTTAAATATGAAGCTGGCGTGGGAATAACAACTTACACCAAACGCAAGTTTTTGTTTCCCAAACGCTTGTTTGATGGAATGCAGTAGAAGACAAGAAGGTAATTTAATAAGAATAAGGAAGTTGTAATGATTATAATGATAGAGTTAGATCAGATAACACAGGCATCTACAGTACGTGAATTAGGCATAATGTAGTCTGAGTTAGTAGAATCATACAATAAAATAATATTTAATGTATCTATGAAAATCGGCAAGAAAAAATCTTTAGCTGACATTTAATTAGTCCCAATTTCGTTTGCATAAATGATCAACGGCAACTCACAATGGCCCCATCAGCTAAAAAAAAACGTTTTGTCGTTTTTTTCTAAACCCAATTAAAACTACGTTAGTATAAGTTTTTATTATGTTTTGCCCCAATTAGTGAAAAGTTGGTTTTCAATCGTTTCATAATATCGTCATCAAGATTCCAATGTTTTTTCCGAAAATCTGGAGATAGTTAAGAAGCAGAAATAAATAGGATTTTTAGATTTTTATACGTACCTTGAATTCTGTTATATTTTTTATGTATTGTGTGCTGAAAATCATGATTCAAGGGTCCAAAGTGCATCCTCGCGGAACATTTTATGTTCATGGTCGGCTTGATTTGGTAACAGGTTATCCAATAATGTTTCCCGGATACTACCATTAAACTTAACAAGAATTGGAGTCAAAATAAACTGCAGTTCTTCAGGTCCCTGGCGAACGTCCGCTTATTTGCTGCTACGCTGTTTTAATTGTGGGGACAAAGTTTACTTATAAAAAATGTTTTCTCTCTAAATTTCTAAATTATATATCTATTGGGATTATTTGGTTAATTTTGTTAGAATTGAAAGTAAGTTTTTACTTAAACTTTGTCTGATCTAGAAACTTTAAAGCTTTTTCAAGATAAGATCTTAAGTAGATTGTGGAGATTGTAGCAGTGCAGGCCACCGTATAAAGTATTTTTTGCTTATTTTCAAACGACCGGAGATTTGAAAGTAAATTAACCGTGTGTTTTGTTTCTTGATAATGTCCCGATAAGTTTACTTGCAAGCTAGATTGTTACTTTTCTTTACTATGCCAATTTGATATTTAGAAGAAAACTAAAACAACATGATATACAAAATAATACAAAATACTGTAACAGTTGGAATTTATCGAAAATTGTGAATTTTGAGCAGATGTATTGGATAGAAACTGTGAAAATTTCCCCAAAAGAATTTCTGATATTACTTCTTCACTTTACATTTAGTTATTGATCCGTGGCATGTATCGAATATTATTTGGGGTGGGAAAAGGCTTCTTTATACGCATAATTCAGAAATATTTTTTTAAAATAAAAGCATCTTACAAGTTTTGATGAAAAGTTTTTAATTATTTTAACATACAGGGTGTCCCGTAAGCACATGATCAAAAGGATACTGCGATATTCTTTGCATCAAAGAAGACGATCTGACCTAACTTGTATTAACAAAAAAGTCTGGCTCCTCTGCTATTGATGGTCAAAGTTCTTCAAAAAAATTATCTTTTGAAATATCGGGTACGATGTGTTTTAGTAAAACTCGCTGTGAACTTGTTCTTATGTATTTACAGTTAATGTCTAACCTTGTTAAGTGGCAAGAAAACAGACATATTTTTTTAGCGCAAAAACCATGAATGATACAAGATTTTACAAAGAGCACAAAATTGTGAATAAATTATTGTGCATCAACCAAAAAAAAAATGAGTTGATTTCATCCACCAAATAAAAAGTTCTGGTAGTTTTTGTTCCACGTCACTCAAGATTTCACCACTTGTCCAAAACGGCTGAACTCGATTGTTTCATCAAAATATGAGTCTTACATAAGAACAAATTCACGAGTTTTACTAAAATACATCTTACCCGATATTTCAAAAATTATTTTTTTGAAGAAGTTTCACCATCAATAGCAAAGGAGCCAGACATTTTTTGTTAATAAAAGTTAGGTCAGATCGTCTTCTTTTGATCCAAAGAATATCGCAGTACCCTTTTGACCATGTGCTTACGGGACACCCTGTATATTTGAAATTTTGGTGGATGGTTCTAAAATACTCGTACAAACAGATTGTGACATTCAATGATGGAATTCCTAAAGTAAATTGAGTAGCAAAAATATAAATGGTGGTTGAAAATTCGCGTATTTATTTTGAAAGAGTTACAGTTTAAAAATAATGGTAGGAAAATTTATAATTTAATCGACTTTTTGTGATAAATGTGGAACTTAAGCCTCGTTTGAAGTATTCTATTTTATACTTCATTGAGAACCGGTTAACAAAAAGTATTAAATATTTAAAGGAACTTTAAGTTTTAATTTGTTTTTCTAGTCAAGTTCAGAAAAAGAGTGCATTTGCTTTAAAAAAAAAATTTTGAATTGGCATCTTGCAACAGTGGTTTGTCGAAAATTTACTAGTTCTCCATTTTCATAAATTGTATATCTCTTGCTCTTTGGAACAATATATTTGAATATTTTAAAAGTTTTCATAAATAATAAGAATTTAGAGGAATTTACAGATTTTGCAAAACGTGCAAACTCCGTTTGTTTGCTGCGGTTAGCGATCTAGAAGTTCTGCCGTATTAAAAGTTAAAGCATTATGTTTAGATATTGAATTAATTTAAAAAGGTTCAATTTAATAGTAATTTTTAAGTTTGGGCTTTGTCGCTCCTGCCGATCATTTCAACGCTTTTAGCACATTTTAAATTAACATGGGTAAGGTTTTCAGTTTCAGTATCTAAATTATGTTTCGTATACTTTCAGATGTAAACTACATTAATTAATTTATTATTAGTGTGGTTTCAATGTAATTTAATTTTATTACATCATATAACAGCGGAAATATGGGATCAACCACTTCGCATTTTATAAAATTGAAGTTTCTTTGATTTGTTGGAAAAATTTCACGTTTTCTTATTACGTTTTATTCTTACTGTGGTTTATTGAAAATTGTATATTAACACTATTTGAAACATTTAGGTTTTTGTATAATTCGCATTTAAAACAGCATTACATTTCTAATGAAATGTGATTGATGACATAAAAGAAGTGTAAAAACGTTCGTAACAGTTTTAGTATTGTTTTTATATAAAAAATAATTAACTTAAAAAACTAGATAATCCAAAAATGTTTTAATGTGATATGATTCTGTGCTTAATTTTTATCTCAAACTATCATTTGTAACAGTTTGTCATCGCTTTTAAGGATTTTTGC